GAATTTATTACAACGATTTAGATTGGCGCGCTAATTATAATCATCCAATGAAAAAGCGGCTTCGTTACCGATTCGGCTACAGAGTAATATGTAAACAGAAAGTAATTGTACAATTTGTTAGTCAAAATGAAGTTTCTACACGAAGGATTTAATACAAGAGATATCGAGAAGACCTCAAAAAATAAATGGAGATGGGAATGGTTGTCTGTATGTGATCGAAACGGGGATAACTACGGAAACTGGCTGGAAAAGCTAGACGTTCCCGGCGTAGCTTTCTGCACTGTATGTAGAAAATCCATCAAGTATGGATCCAGCGGGAAAAAAGAATTAAATGCACGCAGACGATCCAAACCATATGAAAAACAAACTTACTGTGAAACATAACCAGGCTTGTTTTAATTATCTTTTTTGAAAACAATTTATTGTTTGTATGGAATCAGGGTCAGCTCAGCCCTAATTAAAACGTAAACTCGGTACAAATCAACTCAGTAAGTCAATTTTCAATTTATTTATATATTGGTTTGTTTTATCACTCTTTACTGTTGGAACCACAATATTAAATAGTGGAAACAATATATGAATGCACATTTCTTTTTGTGTTGAAATGTTTTTGTTTATATAATTAAGAAAAAGAGAGAGAAAAGAAGAAAATAATTCTGTGAGCAATATTTATAAGTGAAAATACTACACTACAGTATGTATGTTATCTGGTATGTAATCATTCAAGGGAATTGCATTTTAGGCCTTCAAATGTGCTATAATGCAGGAGCTTCCGGGGGACTCCGGCCCCCTGGACCCCTGGCCGGGCGTTGCCCTGGACCCATCGGGGGCCCTTGCGGCCCCCTGGCCCCCAAACAAATAGTAGTTCAGGTTTTTTTACAATTTTTAACTTGCACCCATGTTTTTAAATGCATTTTAATGTTTAAATTTAAAAATATATATTGTTAACTGACTATATGCTGTATAACATATTAATACAACTGTTACAAAAAATAGTAACAAAATTGCCTAGGATTGCCTATGAAGTCAACTGATCATAAGTGTCGCCTTACTAATCATGTGTTTGAAGCAAGAGATGGACAAAAGCCCTCCCATCCAAAATTGACAAGGCGGACAAAAGCCCTCCCGTGAAAATGACTCTGCGGACAAAAGTCCTCCTGTGAAATTAACAAGGCAGACAAAGCTTCACAATGCGGACAAAGGCCCTCCCATAACAAAAATATATAATATATGTATGTTACTTTCCTGTGTTTTTTTCATTGCACTCAAGATATTAAAATTGTAACATACATATTTGTTATTGTTTTCAATTGATATGAGTATTTTTATGAACTAGAACCACCTTTCATTCAGAATATACATTTCTGACGAGGAAACTTTTTACATGAATGTCGTTTAAAACAAAGTCCCTTTTAAAAGTAATTGACACATTAGGAGGCACATTATAAATGTCATAGACTTTTAATTTTAGTTAATTTAAACTTCTTTTCATCATTTATTACTCTATTGATCTTAACTTCACATGGGAGTAATCCTTCATTTTTACGTGAATAAATATGCACTTACAGATTTTAGCACTTATTATTCAGATGCCTGTAAGGAATGTGCTCAAGCTCATACAAATAAGCTTATGACAATGGAAAACAAAAATATTCGGGATTACAATTTTAATATGTGGAGTTCATTGAAATGAAATTACAAATTATTCAATGTACATATATGTACATGTATTTGCTGCGGGAGGGCATTGTCCCGCCTGTTATTTTCATGGGAGGGCTTTTGTCTGCCCAGTCATTTTTACGGAAGGGCTTTGTCCGCCTTGTCATTTTTGGGTGTGAGGGCTTTTGTCCGGGAGGGCTTTTGTCCTACACTCGTTTGAAGCCCAGGGCTAAAATATACATGCCATAATGTCCCGGATGTCCGCGAATGTCCCAGAAATAAGGTGTCTGTCCCAGAGATGTCCTGGAGATGATTTATGTCCCGCTGAAAATAAAAATCTAAAATTATCTACTTTGCAGCCAGAAATTATACATTTTTAGCTCGACTATTCGCAGAATAATCGAGCTAATGCAGTCACCCATTTGTCGGCGTCGGCGTCCCTGTGGTTAAGTTTTTGTATGTAAGCTGGTATCTCCATAACTACTGAAGGGAATGGATTGAAACTTCACACACTTGTTCTCTGTGATTATCTAAGATGATTGGCACAAGTCCCATAACTCTGAATCGTTTTATTTCATAATTATGCCCCTTTTTCGACTTAGAAAATCTTGGGTTAAGTTTTTGTATGTAAGCTGGTATCTCCATAACTACTGAAGGGAATGGATTGAAACTTCACACACTTGTTTCTCTGTGATTATCTAAGATGATTGGCACAAGTCCCATAACTCTGATTTGCTTTTTTTCATAATTATGCCCCTTTTTCGACTTAGAAATTCTTGGTTAAGTTTTTGTATGTAAGCTGGTATCTCCATAACTACTGAAGGGAATGGATTGAAACTTCACACACTTGTTCTCTGTGATTATCTTAGATGATTGGCACAAGTCCCATAACTCTGGTTTGCTTTTTTTCATAATTATGCCCCTTTTTCGACTTAGAAATTCTTGGTTAAGTTTGTGTATGTAAGCTGTTATCTCCATAACTACTGAAGGGAATTGATTGAAACTTCACACACTTGTACTCTGTGTTTATCTAAGACAATTGGCACAAGTACCATAATTCTGATTTGCTTTTTTACATAATTATGCCCCTTTTTCGACTTAGAAATTCTTGGTTAAGTTTTTGCGTGTAAGCTGGTATCTCCATAACTACTGAAGGGAATGGATTGAAACTTCACACACTTGTTCTCTGTGATTATCTAAGATAATTGGCACAAGTCCCATAACTCTGATTTGCTTTTTTACATAATTATGCCCCTTTTTTGACTTAGAAATTCTTGGTTAAGTTTTTGCATGTAAGCTGGTATCTCCATAACTACTGAAGGTAATGGATTGAAACTTCACACACTTGTTCTCTCTGATTATCTTAGATGATTGGCACAAGTCCCATAACTCGGATTTGCTTTTTAACATAATTATGCCCCTTTTTCGACTTAGAAATTTTTGGTTAAGTTTTTGCGTGTAAAGCTGGTATCTCCATAACTACTGAAGGGAATGGATTGAAACTTCACACACTTGTTCTCTGTGATTATCTTAGGTGATTGGTACAAGTCCCATAACTCTGAATTGTTTTATTTCATAATTATGCCCCTTTTTCGACTTAGAAAATCTTGGTTAAGTTTTTGTATGTAAGCTTGTATCTCCATAACTACTGAAGGGAATGTATTGAAACTTGAAGAGTTTGTACATTTTCGGACAATTTTATGTATTCATATAGGTAAGCATTATTATACTCAATGAAACACCCTTGTGACAAATTTTCGAATAGTCGAGCTTTACTGTCCTCCGACAGTTCTTGTTATATTTAGCAATCTTATTGTAAAGTAATTAAAAGTTCTAGAACACTGAAAACAAACGATTATCCCCATGCAATATACAGTAAATGGTGACACTTATCCTTTGATTGGTAAATCTATGTGTCCCTTTTAACTAACAATTATCGGCAATAATTTTGATAAATTAAAAGATTAATTGTTTACCTCCTGTGGCTTCCTGAGCGAAGGTGTCATAAACTAAGTACCAAAATTATGGCATGTATGGCAAAAAACTGATAATCATAATGGGGTTACTGAATACAAGTACATGCAAAAATTGTAATGATGTCACATTTTACATCATCAAAACTACTACTGTACAGTAAAATTAGGTTTTTAGCACAGATCACAGGATAATTTGTACAATCACAGTTTTATTAAGGAAACAGATGTCAATTTTGAGATGATTCCATTATTCTTCTTGCAGGCCAATTATCACCTTCTGACCCTACTCTGAGTTCAAGTTTCAAGAGTTTATTCAGCATAAACATACAATATGTTCATTGCCATACATATGATATAATGTGCATGTAATATGACAAGAAAACAAACAAACAAACAAACACATGAGTGATATTAGTATATATGTTTATATGCTTATTGAAAACTATTGTACAGAGAGATCTGAATGCCTCAACAAAGATTCATTGTACAGTGGAACCTGTCTAAACCAAACTCAACCGGACCTGAAGAAAAGTTTGGATTAGAAAGATTTCCGGAGTTGAAGGTTTTTTTACATGTTTGTTCATGTTACTGGCAGAAAAGTTTAAGAAAAGAAAACGGGAATGCATTTAAAATTGCAATATAAATATTTTATTTTTGCAATCTCTTATCGTTCATTTTAATACATGTGAATACAAAAATAAATGAATAAAAATAAATAAATAAGCAAAACTGCTATGTTCTCAAGGGTAAGGTAACCTACGATGTTAAACATAATTAAATATTCGTACCAGCATTTGTCAATTGTTGTTTACTCGTATCTGATTCAGCGATTATCCGAATTCACTGACAGTTTCCATTAATTTCCATTAATTAATCATGTGTCATTAAATTCATTACAAAAGATTTAAAAATTAATTTAAAAAAAAAAAAAAATAATCGAGTGACATCTGAGTATTTATTTAATGTTGATTTAAAGTGAGTATTCCCCCGTCTCCAGCCACCCATGTGTTTCTAAATAGCAATCAATTTTTCAAAACTTATATTTCATTTTTTTTCTTCTCTCTTTCTCTTTTTCTTATGATTTTGTAGCATTGTAACACTCATTGACCGGATACTGTATTATTTTGTGTAAATGTAAATTTCGTAAAAAAATTCATGTTGTACGATATGATATCTTCTTGTACCTGGGTGAATAAAAGATCTGTTCTGTTCTGTTCTAAAAGATATTTCTATTTTATTATATCAAAATATTTATTGAAGGTGACAAAAAATAATCAATTTAGCAATTATAGTAGATATCAAGGCAAGCTAAATGTAATTTTCACACCTTTGCAGATCATATGTTTCACCCATTAATCAAGCAAATTACTCTCATCAGTTTGGTGTATGTTTACACCTGCAAGATGTGCGATTATTTGTTATTTTGAATGTAGGTGTGACATTTGACATAATCTGTTCGGATCTGAGAGGTTAATTTTAGAATAAAATAAAAACAAAAAATGAAAAAATTGTGCGGAGTTTGGAATAGAAAGGTTCCGGATCCGAAAGGTTTTTTATTATTGAAAATAGAACGAATAAAATCGGGACCGATCACTTCCTTTGGATAAGAAAGGATTCTGGAATAGAAGGGTTCAGATTAGCAAGGCTCCACTGTAATTCATTTGGTATGGAATTTTTTTTTAAATAATTAATAGTGAAATGCAAAAAGAAATTGTGGTTGTTATATATAATGGTGTAAACAATTTAGATTTACTGGTATGTCTTTTTGCACAAAAGTGTCCATTAAAGACATTTGTAGATGTATGACTCACATTCAGTGATAGTTCTAGTTTGATTGAGGATATCAATTTGTCTGTTTTTGTAAGAGATTCAATATCATATCATGTTGAACAAATCAGTTATCTTTTATATCTCATTAAACCTCTTTGACCCATGAGAAGTTATCTTTAAGAGTAATATCTATGCTTTTATATTTTAACAGTGACTGGCTTTTAAAAGACTAACATATACTCCTAATACAACAGAATAAATGTGCTCAGAAATTAGCAAGATTTTGTGATAATTGTTAAAGGCAGCTGATATTGTGTGTTTTGTTTAAGAAGAATGTGTTAATTTGTTATCATTTTTCATGTGCTCTAGATTTTGTCAGTTTTGAATATCTTTTCATAGTTTATATAACCAAATCATTTGTGATGTGTAATTGATTTTTTTTCTCTTAAAATTTTTATCATTTGTGTTTTTGTATTTTTGAGTCACCTTGACCTTGAAAAGGAGACATATAGGGGTTACTTTTGTCAGCGGTGTCGGCGTCCCCTAAAGTTTGTCCGGAGCATAACTCAGTCACTATAAGTTGGATTGACTTCAAACTTGGTATGCATGCTTCTTTCAATAACCCGAAGTGCAGTGCACAAGGACCGGTACTCTGCACTTCTTATGAGTTATTGCCCTTTGTTAGTTTTCATACTTTAATTTTGTTCGGGCTATTTCTCTTCAACTATAAAAGCTATGGACTTGAAACTTTATAGGATGATAGATCTCATTAAGAAGAAGTGCAGTGCACAAGAACCGGTAATCTGCACTTCCTTATTTTTATGCCCCCGCCATGTAATGGCCGGGGCATATAGTGTTACCCTGTTCCGTCCTTCCGTCATTCCGTCCTTCCGTCATTCTGTCATTCCGTCATCATCAGTTTCCGTTCATTATCTCCCCAACGGTACAACACATTCAACTTAAATTTGACATATGGATATGTCATGAGAAAATACAGGTCAAGTTCGAATTTGGTCATGGTTCGATGATTTTTGGCAGAGTTGTGCCCCTTTTACTTTGAAAATAATATGAAATTTTCAGTTTCCGTTCATTATCTCCCAAACGGTATAACACATTCAACTCAAATTTGACATATGGATATGTCATGAGAAAATACAGGTCAAGTTCGAATTTGGTCATGGTTCGATGATTTTTGGCAGAGTTATGCCCCTTTTACTTTGAAAATAATATGAAATTTTCCGTTTCCGTTCATTATCTCCCCAACGGTACAACACATTCAAACCAAATTTGACATATGGATATGTCATGAGAAAATACAGGTCAAGTTCGAATTTGGTCATGGTTCGATGATTTTTGGCAGAGTTATGCCCCTTTTACTTTGAAAATAATATGAAATTTTCAGTTTCCGTTCATTATCTCCCCAACGGTACAACACATTCAACTCAAACTTGACATATGGATATGTCATGAGAAAATACATGTCAAGTTCGAATTTGGTCATGGTTCGATGATTTTTGGCAAAGTTATGCCCCTTTTACTTTAAAATAATATGAAATTTTCAGTTTCCGTTCATTATCTCCCCAACGGTACAACACATTCAACTCAAATTTGACATATGGATATGTCATGAGAAAATACAGGTAAAGTTCGAATTTGGTCATGGTTCGATGATTTTTGGCAGAGTTATGCCCCTTTTACTTTGTAAATAATATGAAATTTTCAGTTTCCGTTCATTATCTCCCCAACAGTACAACACATTCAACTCAAATTTGACATATGGATATGTTTCTGGAATGCCCAGGCCAATTTCGAATTTGGTCATGGTTCAATGATTTTTGGCAGAGTAATGCCCCTTTCACTTTGAAAATAATATGAAATTTACAGTTTCTGTTCATTATCTACCCAACAGTGTTACATATTCAACTCAAATTTGACATATGGATATGTCAAAGGAATGGGCAGGTCAAGTTGGAATTTGGTCATGGTTCGATGATTTTTTGGCAGAGTTATGTCCCTTTCACTTTGAAAATAATATAAATACGTCTTAGGAATAAGCAGTTTAAGTTTGAATTTGGTCATGGTTTAATGATTTTGGACAACCTTATCTTTCTTGAATATTGGAAAAATTTTGAACTTTTTGTTTCAGCACTCATACTTTTGTGGAAATGTATGTATAGCCATTATTTTGGCTACAAATATGAAATATGCTATTTTCAAAAGGTTAAGACTGAATAATTTCAGTGCCTTGAATATTGTATGAAAATGGTTTGTGTTAACACTGAAAAGTTTAAAGGGCTTTGAACTTAAAATGAAAACAATAATTTGTGCAAACAAATTTGGAACTAAATATTATAACATCTGAAATTTTGGCTGCATGCGGGGGCATCCGTGGCATGATGACACATTTCTAGTTGAGTTTTTGCCCTTTGTTAATTTTCATACTTTATTTTTGTCCAGGCCATTTCTCCTAATGTATAAAAGCCATGGACTTGAAACTTCATAGGATGACAGATCTCATTGAGAAGAAGTGCAGTGCACAAGAACCGATATTCTGCATTTCTTATTTTTTGAGTTTTGCCCTTTGTTAATTTTCATACTTTATTTTTGTCCAGGCCATTTCTCCTAATGTATAAAAGCTATGGACTTGAATTTTCACAGGATAATAGATCTCATTAAGAAGAAGTGCAGTGCACAAGAACTGGTACTCTGCATTTCTTATTTTTTTTTAGTTATTGCCCTTTATTAATTTTCATACTTTATTTTTGTCCAGGTCATTTCTCCTAAAGTATAAAAGCTATGGACATGAAACTTCATAGGATGACAGATCTCATTGAGAAGAAGTGCAGTGCACAAGAACCGATATTCTGCATTTCTTATTTTTTGAGTTTTGCCCTTTGTTAATTTTCATACTTTATTTTTGTCCAGGCCATTTCTCCTAATTTATAAAAGCCATGGACTTGAAACTTCATAGGATGACAGATCTCATTAAGAAAAAGTGAAGTGTACAAGAACCGGTACTCTACATTTCTTTTTTTTTAGTAATTACCCTTTAATAATTTTCATACTTTATTTTTGTCCAGGCCATTTCTCATAAATTATAAAAGCTATGGACATGAAACTTCATAGGATGATAGGTCTGCTGCTCTGCACTTCTTATTTTTTGAGTTATTGCCCTTTGTTAATTTTCATATTCTGTCCTGGCCATTTCTCCTAAACTATATTGTTCACAAGGCGACACATCCTACTTGCGGAGTTCTAGTTTATTAAAGAATATTGTTTGTAAATAAAGAGGTGTATAGTGACTGAAGATTTTTGTGAACACTGATTGCTTATATGCAATTGATTTCTTTTGATCTCTTAAGTGTGTTTTAGAAATTCTTGAAACTGTTTTTGTTCATTGTTGTTTTTATTTTCGAACAGTTTCTGATTTCTGTTGTTAATGTATAAGCATAATTTTTTATTCAGTTCAAGGTATTACACAAATTTTTCTGTATGATAAATGAAATACATTAAGTAGTTGTTAATGTCTATATTTACTCTTGATTTTAAATGTTTAATAACTCCTTTACAAGACAGCTATCATGTACTAGTATATTAATCCTTTCTGTAACTATGCTCTTGTTTTAGGGATATCAGATAATCTCAGTGAGACTGTGTTTGGTACATGAGTCAAATATTGGGATCAGCTGTACAATGAGTGCTTTTTTGCTTAGGCTGACAGTAACTCACCATTGCTTGACGGATTTAATGATAACATAGCACATTAGTCAACCTCAATGAGACTTTGTGTCAAGCACAAAAGCAAGTACCTGGCTCAATGGCAAGGTCAAACTTGCAGTAACTTTTGCATGGAATGTGTGATTCTCAATCAGATTAAAAATCTTGGCACAAATGTCAACTTTAGTGAAACAGTATGTTTCATGCATGAATCATAATTTTAGCTTGATGGTCAAGGTCACACTTTAGGGTCAAAGGTCACATGTAGTGAAATTTTGTTAATCTCACCTGCAGCTGCTGAATTAATTGCAAGATTCTTTAATAACTTGGCATAGTGCCAATGTTACAGTTGTGTTGTCACTTACAGGAACCGGATAACATTTTCAGATAAATTTTGAGCTTAATACATAGTTCAAAAACATTTAGTCGTTACAATAATTTTCTGCCTTTTTAACTTCTGAACACAATTATAAAGCATCATGGAAAGGAAACATATTAGTATTTCTCAAAGGTTTAAGGTTAATTTTCAGATTTTTGTTTAGACTTGAAATCAAAAATCATGTGGACCCCATAATGCTTAAACAATAGCTATTGTATCTGATGTGCTGCATTTTTGTGTAATTTCTTCAGAGAAGTGGCATCATACAGGGACCACTTCTCCATCGTAGTCTGTCATTCTTTTCAGGAATATTCAGTACCTAGTCTAGTTGTGCATATCAGCGGCATTTTTCAGTTTAATTATTTTTTGTCAGAGTTACGGCCCATTTTGTCCCTCACCTTTTAGAAGAAAAAAAAGGGGATATTGAAATAGGCTTTGTCTGTCTGTCTGTCCATCACATTTTCATGTCTGGTCCATAACTATGTCATTAATCAAAGGAATTTAAAATAACTTGGCACAAATGTTTGTCATAATAAGACAATGTTTCATGTTTAACAACCAGACACCTACCTCTAGGATCAAAGTCAAAGGTCAACATTGTCTATTTGAGGGTGTATGTCCTGTCCGATCTATAACTTTCTTATCCATGAAGGGATTTTGAAAGTACTTGGCACAAATGTTCACAATAATAAGACAATGTGTAATGTGCAAAAATCAGTCGCCTACCTTTAAGGTCAAGGTCACAGTTGGAGGTCAAAGCTTAACATAGTCTGTTACAGGGTATAATTTTTGTCCTGTCCATAACTTCTTTATAGATTAAGGGATTTTGAAGTTTTTGACACAAATGTTCACAATAATAAGACGATTTTTCATGTGTTAAAACCATTTGCCTACCACCAAGGTCAATGTCACAGTTGGAGGTCAAAGATTAACATTGTCTGTTATAGGATATTTTGTTTCCAGTGCATAACTTTCTCATCCATCAACGGATTTTGAAAGTACTTGGCATAAATGTTGATGACAATAAGACGATGTGTCATGCACATCACCCAGACTCTTTTCTCCAAGGTCAAGGCCACACTTACAGGTCAAAGCTTAATATGATCTTTTTATGCCCCCGAAGGGAGGCACATTAAAATCGCACCATCTGTCCGTCCATCTGTCCGTCTGTGCGCCCCCTTTTCATTTGTGTCAGGACTGTAACTTTGTCAAACATTGAGGGATTTTGAAATAACTTGGCACAAATGTCTACCACATCAAGACGATGTGTCACGTCCAAGAACCACATCCCTACCTCAAAGGTCAAGGTCACACTATCATTTTGAAGTTTCACATTATCGCAATTAGAGTAAATAGGTACACAATAATGTGTCCGGACTGTAACTTTGTCATGCATCAAATAATTTTAGAATAACTAGGCACAAATGTCTACTACATAAAGAGGATGTGTGGCGTCCAAGAATTATGTCCCTAACTCAAAGATCAAGGTCACAATATCATTTTGAAGTTTCACATTATCACAATTAGAATTAGTAGGTACACACAATCGTTTCTGGGTTGTAACCTTGTCATGCATAGAAGGATTTTAGAGTAACTTGGCATAAATGTCTACCTCATAGAGACAATGTGTCGCGTCCAATAATCACGTCCCTACCTCGAAGGTAAAGCTTCACTTTATAGGTACACACATTTGTGTCTGGATTGTAATTATGTCATGCATGGAAGAATTTTAGAATAAATTTGCATAAATGTCTACCACATAAAGAGGATGTGTCGTGTCCAATAATCATGTCCTTTCATCAAAGGTCAAGGTCACACTACCATTTTGAAGTTATCACAATTAGAGTTTATAGGTACAGACAGTCGTGTCAGGACTGTAACTTTGTCATGCATCGAAGGATTTTAAAATAACTAGGCATAAATGTCTACCACATCAAGACGACATCTCGCAACAAAGACCCATGTCCTTACCTTCAAGGTCACACTTATAGTTTGAAGGTACTCATTCTCTCAAGTAGAGTTTGCAGATACCCATTCATGTCCGGACTGTAACTTTGTCATGCATGAAAGGATTTTAAAATAACTTGGCACAAATGTCTACCACATGCGGCTTAGGCTCATGTCCGTCTGTCTGTGTGTCCCCATTTACACAACAATCATGTCCAGACTGTAACTGTGTCATGCATTGAGAGATTTTGAAATAACTTGGCACAGATGTCTATCTCATAACAACATTCTGTCGTGTCCAGGAACCACGACCCTCCTTCAAAGGTCAAGGTCACACTTATATTTTGAAGGTTCACCCTATCACAATTAGAGATTACAGGTACAATAATACAAAGAACAATATTAAGCAATTATTTACTTTTATTCTCTTTTCTTTTCATGATACCTGCATGCTTAAGAAACCTTTTCGGGGCATTTGTCACTTGGGTGACAGCTCTTGTATAGGGTATATTTTGTGTGCAGTCCATAATTTTTTTATTGTTCAAAGGATTTTGAAATTACTTGGCACAAATGTTCACAATAACAACCAGATTCCTACCTTCAATGTCAAGGTCACAATTGAGTGCCAAAGCTTAACATGGTATGTTCTAGGGTATATTTTGTGTGCAGTATATAACTTTTTAATCAATCAAGGGATTTTGAAATAACTTGGCACAAATGTTAACAATAATAAAACAACATGTTATGCGCAACACCTAGACCCCTACCTCAAAGGTCGAGGTGACACTTGGAGGTCAAAGCCTAAAATAGTCTACTACAGGATATGCTGCTAAGTCAGGCCCATGCAAATAAAATGTCATTGGTGAATTGCCCACATACCTTGATTGATGACTGGGCATGAAATATAGGATGTAACAGACCATATTCTGTATTGATTTTGTATTTGCCTCATTTTGTTGCTTTGAAATAGTGATAACAAGTATACAAATGTATTTCTGTTGTCACATACACAGGAGTTATTTCATTATATTTCTTGAATGAATTTATTGTTACTGGCATGTGCAGATCTAGCACTGATTAAAATTTTGCACTGAAAGTCAAGATCCATACCACAATAAAATAGCACAATTTTGTGTTTCATGTAAAATTTCCTTAGGTGGAGGACGTTGGTAAGTCTGTTACAAATTCTTGTGTTCTTTACTTTTTTAAAAGAAGATGTATTGTTACAGGCATTTCAGCGTTGACATTGCTATTGCTGTCCAAAACTTTAACCTTGATCCTTACTATTTAAGTTCTTGGTGTATTGTCTTCTTACTTGGCAACAACAACCCTTGGGACAAGACCTTCAAGTAGACCAGAATAAACTTGACCTTTATTCATAAATGACCTTGGCCTTCAAGGTAAAATATCTTAATTTGCTTAATTTTTGCTATAAGTGACTATATTTTAAATGAATTGTCTTCAAACTTGAACTTAACAGTCTCTTAGGCTAACCAGACAGACTTGACCTTTACTCATAAACGACCTTGAACTTGAAGATCAAATTATTGAAATTTTTAAAAAATATTTGCTGTAACTGGCTATAACTTGGTTATTTATAAATGGATTGACTTCATATTAAGACACAACATTCTAAAGGATAACATCTTTATGTATATTAAACCCAAACTGACCTTGGTTCATTTATGACCTTGAAGGTTAAATTATTGAATTTTCACTGATTATTTTCATTGATTATTGCTATAATTGACCATAACTTGGCAATTAATGAATGGATTATCTTCTGAACAAATCAACCTTTTGGACAAGGCCTTTTAAAAGGTTGAATTGATTTTGACATTGACTTTTAAATGACCTTGACTGTGAAGGTCAAATTATTTAATTTTAGTTAAATTGTCATAAATTTGTTATGTTAGGATTTGATTGATACTTGGACAAAACAAGACTTTTGGCCAGACAAACATATTGAATAATTAAGGTATGACCTTGACCTTTAATTGACCTTTACCATCAAGGTCAAATTTATGAAATTCTCTGGTATTTTAGCTCACCAGAACCGAAGGTTCAGGGTGAGCTAGTATAAGTATCAATGGGGGATACTCTGGCGTCTATCGTCAGTTGTCATGCGTCAACAATCATCTTCTCTGAAACTACTGGGTAGATTTACCTCAAATTTGGTTTGTAGCATCCTTGTGACTTTTAAATTTGCTCATGCCATTTCAATTGGCCCCTTTTAGGGGTCATCAGAGCTAAAGTAGAAAAACCTTTAAACATCTTCTACTCCTAAATTAAATGATGGATTATCACCAAAATTTGTCTGTAGCATTCTAGGTAGTTTTGTATCAAATTGGCTAAAAATAGAAAAACCTTTAAACATCTTTTTCTACTGAACTAATTAAACTTTGTCAGTAGCATTCTTAGGTGGTCTTTTATCAAGTTTGCTCATATTAATTTGATAAAAGGGGCCGCTAAAGCTAAAAATAGAAAAACCTTTTAACATCATCTCCTACTGAAATAATAGATGGATGATCACCAAACTTTTAACTGTAGCATTCTTGGGTAGTCTTTTATCAAGTTTGCTCATAATATTTTGATTTGCCCCTTTGAGGGGCCGCTGAAGCTAAAAATAAAAAAACCTTTAAAAGTCTGCTTCTACAGAACTAATTGATGGATGATCACCAAATTTTGTCAAGCATTCTTAGGTAGTCTTTTATCAAGTTTGCTCATATTAATTTGATTGGCCCCTTTAAGGGGCCACTAAAGCCAAAAAATCGAAAGGCTTGAATATCATCTTCTACTAAAATAATTGATGGATAATCACCAAACTTTGTCTGTAGCATTCTTAGGTAGTCTTATCTAGTTTGCTCATATAAATTTGATTAGCCCCTTTTAGGGGCCACTAAAGCTGAAAATAGAATAACCTTTGAACATCATCTCCTACTGAAATAATTGATGGATGATCACCAACTTTGTCTGTAGCATTCGTAGGTTTTTTGTCAAGTTTGCTCATATTAATTTGATTGGCTTCTTTTAGGGGCCGCTTAAGCTAAAAATAAAAAACTTTCAATGTATGCTTCTACAGAACTAATTGATGGATGGTCACCAAACTTTGTCTGTAGCATTCTTAGTTTGTCTTTTATCTTTTACTGAAAAAAGTTATTATTTAGTTAAATGAATTTTTAAATGAATTAACTTTATATTTAGAGACAACATCTTTTAGGTCAGAACCTTCATGTCAACCAAACTAAAATTGACCTTGACTCATCACCTTGATGGTCAAATTATTGAATTTTCACTCATAATTGCTATAACTAATTGAAACTTAATAAGTAATCAATACTTGGACAATACAACCTTATGGACAAGATCTTCGCAAAAATTGAATAAACCTTGACCCTTAAAAGACCTTGAACATCAAGGTCAAATTATTGAATTTTGGTTAAATTGTCATAATTTTGTTATGTTCAGATTTGATTCATACTTGGACAAACAGGACTTGTGAATAATTTAGATGTGACCTTGTTCTTTAATTTACCTTGACCATCAAGGTCATTTATTTTTTTCCTTGAGCTTTTGAACCATGTTTTTTAAGTTTAATTAAACTTTGATATCAGCTGACCTAGTTTTTGACAAAACGGCCTACTTTCTTGTCCTTTGAAGCACAGTAATGAAATTTGGGCCATGTGCACAGTTTAAGATGTAAAATTGAATTTTGATATCAACTGACCTAGATTTTGATGAATTGACCTTTTTTGTCCTTTGATGTACATGTAGCTATGAAATTTGGACCATCTACACAGTTTCAGATGTAATATTGAACTTTGATCAGCTGATCTAGATAACTTGAAGAAGTGACCTACTTTCTTGTCCTTTTACCTATATCGATGAAATTTTGACCATTTATACAGTTTCAGATGTTAAATTGTACTTTGATCAGCTGACAGAGAAAAGTTGAAGAAGTGACCTTCTTTCTTGTCCTTTGATTTACAGCTATGAAATTTGGATCATGTGCACAGTTTCAGATGTAAAATTGAACTTGATCAGCTGACCTAGATAACAAATTATTGAATTTTGGTTAAATTGTAATAGTTTTGTTATTTATGATTATATTTGATTTATACTTGGACATACTAAACAAACGTACTGAATAATTTAGATGTGACCTTGACATTCAATTGACCTTAACTTATAAGGAGAAATTAATGGAATTCTCCTTTTTGTGTCGCCTTGAAAAAGGGTTACTTTTGTCGTCGGTGTCGTCGTCGGTGTGGACGTCGGCGTCCCCTAAAGCTTGTCCGGAGCATAAGTCAGTCTTTATTTGTCGGATTGACTTCAAACTTGGTATGCATGCTTCTCATAATGACCCGAAGTGCAGTGCACAAGAACCGGTCCTCTGCACTTCTTATTTTTTGAGTTATTGCCCTTTGTTTATTTTCATACTTTATTTTTGGCCGGGCCATTTCTCCTCATAAATTATAAAAGCTTTAGACTTGAAACTTAATAGGATGATAGGTCTTATTGATAAGAAGTGCAGTGCACAGAAACTGCTGATCTGCATTTCTTATTTTTTGAGTTATTGCCCTTTGTTAATTTTCATACTTTATTTTTGTCCAGACCATATCTCATAAATTATAAAAGCTTTAGACGATGATAGATCTTATTGATAAGAAGTGCAGTGCACAGAAACTGCTGATCTGCATTTCTTATTTTTTGAGTTATTGCCCTTTGTGTTGATTTTCAAATTTCATTTTTGTCCTGGCCATTTCTCTTAAACTATATTGTTCACAAGGCGACACATCCGACTTGCGGAGTTCTAGTTTTCTGTAATTTGCTAAAAGTTTGTTATTTATGAATGGATGACACAACATCTTTTAGGTCAGGACCTGATGTATATCAAACTCAAATTGCCCTTCATTCATGTATGACTGATGTTGAAGGTCAAATCATTGATTTTTCACTGATTATATCTATAATTGGCAGTAACTTGGTAATTAATCAGTGAATTATTTTCATACTTGGACAAGACCTTCTAAAATGTTGATTCTTGGACAAGACCTTCTAAAAGGTTGAAATGTTCTTGGCCTTGAGCTTTAAATGACCTTGACCATCAAGGTAAAAGTATTGAAATTTGGTTAAGTTTTGAATTTTGATACAGGTGGCAAAGGTGGCAAAACTGTATGAAAAAGTCTTATTTTTGTAATTAACATAACCAAAATTAAAAAACAATACATTTTTAAAATGAAATTTATTTAATCCAAAAAGGAAATTGTTTTATAAGTCCAATTTTTGGCAGGGTTGCACAGGTGCAAATCCAAGTTATAGTATAGTGAATGGCGGGTGACGGGCAAATGGGGACAACATTTTTGTAACAGTTTTCTCAGCATCTACTTAACACAAACTCTCGATATTTGGTATACAGCATGAACACATTGTCTCATACTGTGGGTTTCGATTTCAGGTCTGTGGCTCATCCACTTCATGTTTGCCAACTTAGTTAAATTTTTTATATTAATGGTCAATGGTAGAAAATTTCATAACATCACAGCCTCATGAATTTTGGTATACAAATGCAACCAGGTCATTTCTGTCTTTGACCCATTTTTTTCTGCATTCAATTTTTTATCATTGCAATATGTTGAAGGCAATTTTTTTTTCATACCTTTAAATTTACTTCTTGGTGTGTGTTGCCCCTCCTCAGTGAAGCTCCTTTTGCATTTGATAATTAAAAAAAGTCAGGTTTGGCCCATTTTTGTGGTGGCTTGTTCTAGAAATAAAAGCTGTTTGTGAGTAAGTTGGGGGTATTTATCACATTCAGTGATAGTTATAGTTTAGTGTTTGTTTTGTTATATTTAAAGATCGGTCTACAATGGGCATATTTTCTAATTCTGAAAAAAAAAAAAAAACAATAGAGATATCATTTGGATATTCTTATTTCAATATTTCTTGAAAAAAAAGTTTCTAAGTGATTTATAATATGATTAATAATATTTTGTTCTAGAACAATTCATTAGTTATGTAAGATCGATCATGTATCTTACTCTTACCAAGAATATCCATGTATAATTCTTGCATGGTTTCTTGTCACATATGATATTAAAGACTATCAAAAACTATCAATTATTTATAGTAGTACAGACCTTCCATTATGGACCACTTTAATATCATAGTTTATAATTGCATGTAATATCTGTGTAATGTATGTATGTATGTGTATGCATATTGTGATAACACAAACCATGTTATTGTCTATAAAGTTAAAAGAAGTTTTTATGTAAGAATATGTGCAATACTGGAACACTGTTTTTATTGCTGATTTTTGTCTTTTCTATATATTTTAAGATGATACATATTTTATGTTATTAAAACATTTCCAGTGAGAATAATGTAATGTTTTTCTTTATCATATGAAGTTCATTAGAAATAGAAATTGTACTTTGTATGTAAATATTTTATAAAATGCTATTGATTATTATTATGTTGTTGTTGTTTTTTAGCTCACCTGTCACAAAGTGACAGGGTGAGCTTACGTGATCGCTTTTCGTCCCGTGTCCGGCCCTAAAACTTTTACTTTAAATGACATCTCCTCATAAACCACTAAGCCAATTTCATCCTTTGGTGGTCACCTTTGAAAATTGTTCAAAGAATTTATTTCCATGCGTTGCGATGGCAACCGAAAGAAAAAAACTTTAAATATGTTCTTTTAAAAAACCCAAAGAGCTAGAGCTTAGATATTTGAAACATCTTCTAGTGAGTGTCTACCAAGTTTGTTCAAATAAAAGCCCTGGGGTCAAAATTTGCCCCGCCCCAGGGGGTCATTGATTTTCCCCATATGCATATAGTAAAAATTTAAAAAATCTTCTTGTAAAGAACCCAAAGAGCTAGAGCTAAGATATTTAGCATGAAACATCTTCTTATAGGTGTCTACCAAGTTTGTTCAAATAAAAGCCCTGGGGTCAAATTTGGTCCCGCCCCAGGAGGTCATTAATTTTCCCTATATGCATATAATAAAAACTAAAAAAATCCTCTTTTAAAGAACTCAAAGAGCTAGAGCTAAGATATTTAGCATGAAACATGTTCTAATGGGTGTCTACCAAGTTTGTTCAAATTAGAGCCCCGCTTCGGGGACCTATATACAGGTTATCAACTTCATGGCCCTCTTGTTTCAGCTCACCTGAGCTAGCTCAGGGTGAGCTTTTTTTATCGTTAAATGTCCGTCGTCCGTCCACATTTGTTCGTTAACACTCTAGCGGTCACATTTTTGCCTCAATTGTCATCAAACGTGGTCAGGATGCTTGTCTAGGTAATTGCTCGGATGAGTTCGAACATGGGTCATCTCGGATGAAAAACTAGGTCACAGGAGCTTAAAATAGAAAAATCATGTTAACTATTGGCTACTGTGAAATGTGAATCCGAGGTAACTAAGGTACTATTTTCATTGCTCTCTGGTAAGTAATAGAAAGAGCATGATGCATCAAAACACAACGCTATCTGATTTGTTTGAGTATAAGTCAGATTGCAGAGGGTTTCTTTTGTATCTAGTCAAACATAAAAACATGTTCAATGTTGTCATAATATGAAACCCCAGAAAAACGTAACCAATGAACGAGCATCTGAATATGACATTTCTGTCACTTTCCCACAATAAGTAAACCCCAGCAAAAATGAACCAATCAATGAGCATGCTCTGGAGTGTGGGTGACTAATTCCTGCACTTCAGTTAACGATATGTGCATGTATACGATTTTCAACAGAAAGGTCCCCAAACTAGGATACAAGTTGTTTAAATATGAAAAGAAAGTACATAATCAAAAAGGTATTCAACAAAAAACAAGTGTTGGCATGAACAACATAACATCACAATATGGAATTGGCCTTAAAGTTACATTAAATAAATTTCATAAAAACAGAAATAGCGACATTTCATTAATAAATTGGGTTTCATATCGACTCCAGATCTTATTTTGGTGTCCAGACAACCAAAATGAGTTTTATAAGCATAAAAAATGGACAACCTCATTGTGGCGAAATCGGAAGTACAATATCTGTTTGCATGATAAACTCCGCCTTCAAATCATCCGTACATCAATATTAAATCAACAAACATGACTATATGTAGCAGTCCTAATTTAACGGTATATTTCCGCACTGTAACGGATGTTTTTATACAAATTCAATCTTTTTTATGAGATGATTACTTTTTACTGAACCTCAGGCCTAGTGCACCGTGAAGTTAAACGGTTAAAATGTGTTTTCACAAGAAAATCTCATATTTGTTGTGTTCCGGATAGCAGTTATAACACTGTGACGTAGCGTATACACAAGCTGATTATAATCTTCATTTGCATGTTAAAATTCGTATACGCACTTTAGTGTTACCGTGGGGTTTTCCGTTTAAAATCCTTATTTATGAACAATATTTGATGAGATTTACAACAATACTGTTAAAAAGGTTAATGGAACTGTAGAATGCTTGGTTTTTTAGGCTGACGGCAAAAATATTTTTACATATTTATTTAATGTAACTTTAAGATTAAAATCGCTTTAAACACTTCAAAATTCTACAGTTATTATAATTTGTATGTTTATCACATGCGTTTTAAAAAACACACACATACTATAGAAAAATAAATTGTGAAAACAACAGATTCAGAAAAGAATTGGACAGTGTAATATTCATTTTGTAAAAATTTACTTAGGGTTATGCACTGCTAAATTTTAGCGCCAATAAAAAACAAGTGCCAACGAATGTAGGACAAAACCCCACACCTCAAAATTTTATAGAGTGGACAAAACCCCACCACTTAATTTTATAGAGTGGACAAAACCCCAACACTAAATTTTACAGAATGGACAAAACCCCACCACTTCAGTATTATACTATAGAGTGGACAAAACCCCACCAGAAACAGACGATCTCAAGTATCAATGTGGTGAACTTTCTTGTAAACGTGTTAAAAAATAAACAATTGTGCGTCAGCAGAAATTCGGATAGCAGTTATAACACTGTGACGTAGCGCATACACAAGCTGATTATAATTTTCATTTGCATGTTAAAATTCGTATACGAACTTTTGTGTTACCGCGGGTTTTCCGTTTAAAATCCTTATTTATGAACAATATTTGATGAGATTTACAACAATACTGTTAAAAAGGTTAATGGAACTGTAGAATGCTTGGTTTTTTAGGCTGACAGCAAAAATATTTTTACATATTTATTTAATGTAACTTTAAGATTAAAATCGCTTTAAACACTTCAAAATTCTACAGTTATTATAATTTGTATGTTTATCACACGCGTTTAAAAAAACACACACACACTATAGAAAAATAAATTGTGAAAACAACAGATTCAGAAAAGAATTGGACAGTGTAATATTCATTTTGTAAAAATTTACTTAGGGTTATGCACTGCTAAATTTTAGCGCCAATAAAAAACAAGTGCCAACGAATGTAGGACAAAACCCCACACCACTTAATTTTATAGAGTGGACAAAACCCCACCACTAAATTTTACAGAATGGACAAAACCCCACCACTTCAGTATTATAGAGTGGACAAAACCCCACCAGAAACAGACGATCTCAAGTATCAATGTGGTGAACTTTGTTGTAAACGTGTTAAAAAATAAACAATTGTGCGTCAGCAGAAACTCAAAAGAATGTGTGAACAACTCATCAACAAGGAGAAGACCCGAGTTTCTATCGGCCACTGTATCCGCTTAAACTGGCTATCGGCCACTGTATCCGCTTAAAATAATTACAATGAAGTACAAGAAAAGCATTAATGCAAAGCATCAAAGGGCGTCCAAGCAAGAAATGCAGCAATTGAATTGTATATTTTTGTAATAATCTATTTTGTTACATGAATAATGCATTAATATTAGCACGTTACTTGGAGATTTTCTTTTACATTTTGAAAATTATAAAATACATATATAATATTATATTACAGTTGTTATTTTTTATGGTCATAAATGTAATATCGTGATTAATAATAGCAACGGATATACATGTATACAATCATTTATAATCCATTTGTGTAACGCCTGATCAACACCACACTTGTGTATTGTCCCTTATTATGTTATCGCTATTAGCGAAGACCCCTTCTTAAGATATCTGTTCACACTTAGTAAAAATATGACACTGGTTATATTACCATGTTGATCATGTTGAGCATAATTGTTTTATTATACAATAATTGTAAGATCTATTTCAATATTATTTTTTTACATATTTTATGAATATTGTTTTCTTTTTTGTGTGTTTATGTGCCATTTTAATACTGATTTTTTACGTATACTATTTTTTATTGTAACCAAACTAAGTGACAAACATTCATTTTTGAAAAAGAAACTTATTTGTCTGTAACGATATCAAACATCTACTCCAAAACCGGGAGAGACCGGACAATAAACGTGTGATACTATTCGCCGGTCTCTAGTAAATCCCGGTCAAAATAGACCGGGAGAGACCGGGAATTACCGATAGGAGACCGGCGAATAGTACATTCCTCTATATATAGATTTTCAGACTAAGGTTTTCGGATACATGTACAAGTAAAATGGTTTCCTGCGGGGAACATTTTTAATGATATAAAGATATTTCATTTAACTATTTTCAACATTGTTTGGGGGGGGGGATAAATAAACGTTTGTATCAGGAATATAGTTGACAATGATCGATCAATATAGAAGAAGGTCTTTGGAAATTGATGACCGGAGAAGGTCGAACATAAAACAATTATTTCTTTTTAAGAAAATGATTAAATATGCCTACCATTTTATGAATAATTACGAGCCAAAAAAAAATAATAAAGTAAACACACAAATTTTCGCAGAAAATATCTCTTTTTATTATGGCAGATGCCACTACAAATATTTTAATTTTGTAGATTTTCAGTATAAACAATTTATTGTTAGTAACATTTTGAGATACATATTAAAGAAACATTGATAATTTTCAAACACATCATTCAAGTTTTTCCACCTTAAACGGTAACATAATTATAGAAAATTAAAAATATCACGTAATAGTTTTTTGTTCTTAATTAGGTGTAATTCTGACTTATTCCCTAGAGGATTATCCGTAACGTACCGGCAAACGGTATTTAGCCAGGTTTTCGAAAAGGTCAATTAACCAATCATGTACGGATTACAGATCACATGCTCCTCCATGTACCGAAAACAGGTCACGTGCTCCTCCATGCCTCAAAAGTTAAACGCGTACCAATACCCTGCGGTCTCCAGACCGCAGGGAACAACAATAACACACCATGTACTACAAAATGATTAATAAAATCCCGAAGAGCGAGATTAATTGACGGAAAAGATTATTTCATTTGAATATATTTGCATTGCGAAATTCTCCAGTTCGCTATTCATTGTACATATCTTAAATAATCAAACACCCTCATACCAATCGGAATGATCGGCTATTATAACCGACTAAAAAGCCCGAGAAGTTGCTGCCG